CGACCCAAAATCCTTTGGTAATCCTCAGATTTCATGATGCCTTGCACACAGTCAAGGCACCCAGTGCCAGAGGCAGCAAAACACCCCCAAAACATCATTGAACCTCCACCATATTTTACCGTAGGTACTGTGTTTTGTTCTTTGTAGGCCTCATTCCGTTTTCGGTAAACAGTAGAATGATGTGCTTTACCGAAAAGCTCTATCTTGGTCTCATCTGTCCACAAGACGTTTTCCCAGAAGGCTTTTGGCTTACTCAAGTACATTTTGGCAAAACTGTAGTCTTGCTTTTTTATGTCTCTGTGTCAGCAGTGGGGTCCTCCTGGGTCTCCTGCCATAGCGTTTCATTTCATTTAAATGTCGACGGATAGTTCGCGCTCGCTGACACTGATGCCCCTGAGCCTGCAGGACAGCTTGAATGTCTTTGGAACATGTTTGGGGCTGCTTATCCACCCATCCGGACTATTCTGCGTTGCAATCTTTCATCAATTTTCCTCATCCGTCCACGACCAGGGAGATTAGCTACATTGCCATGGGTTGCAAACTTTCTTGATAATGTTGCGCACTGTGGACAAAGGCAAATCTAGTTCTCTGGAGATGGACTTGTAACCTTGAGATTGTTGATATTTTGCCACAATTTTGGTTCTCAGGTCCTCAGACAGTTCTCGTCTCCTCTTTCTGTTGTCCATGCTTAGTGTGGCACAGACAGACACACAATGCAAAGGTTAAGTGAACGTCTCTCCTTTTTATCTGCTTTCAGGTGTGATTTCTATATTGCCCACACCTGTTACTTGCCCCAGGTGAGTTTACAGGAGCATCACATGCTTGTAACATTCTTATTTATCCGCAGTTGTGAAAGGGTGCCAATACTTTTGTCCAGCCCTTTGGAGGTTTGTTGTGACATTATGTCGAATTTGCTTTCTTTCCTCCCTTTTTTTTGTTTTGTCCCAATACACACAAAGGGAATAAACATGTGTATAGCAAAAACATGTGTTAATGCAATACGTTTCGTGAGAAATACATGATTTCCTGGAGAAATATCAAGGGGTGCCAACAATTTCGGCCATGACTGTACAAGTTTGGAGATGAGGTGATTCCAGTGATAGTAGTGGCACCAGCCTGGCCCAGGAGGTGTTGGAACGCGGACATTGTCAGGCTAGCAGTGACCTCAGCCAGATCTGTCACACCGGCCGTCTCAGGGACCTATATTGCACCCAGCTTTACGGTCGCTGAATTAAACGGCATGGCTGTTGAGACCCAAATCATGAAAGATAGGGGAGTGTCAGACTCGGCTATCCACACAATTTTGAATGCTAGGAAGCTGTTTTCTAGTAACATTTATTATAGAACTTGGAAGGCATATATTTATTGATATGAGGATCGAAATTGGCATCCCCAGAAATGTTTGATTGGTAGAATTTTGTGTTTTCTCCAATCAGGAGTAAAAAAGAAGTTGGCTGTTGGTACTGTTAAGGGTCAGGTTTCAGCCTTGGCTGTTTTTTTTTTTCCAAAGGCTGATTGCTTCTCACTCTTTGGTATGTACTTTTTTACAGGAAGTGATGTGCACTGTTCCTCCTGTCAGACAGCCCCTGTGTCCCTGGGACTCGAACTTGGTCTTGCCAGTTTTTCAGAAACCACCATTTGAACCTATCATGGAAATTCCATTAGTTCTGCTAAATCAAAAGGTTCTGTTTTTGGTGGCAGTCACCTCTGCAAGAAGGGCATTGGAGTTAGCAGCTCTTTCTTGTAGTTAACCATTTTTTACATCAGGATAAAGTGGTGTTACGGCCTCATCCGTCCTTTTAGCCAGAGGTGGTTTCTAGTATTCATCTCAATCAGGACATTATTCTGCCTTCATTCTTTCCTGGGCCTCAGTCAGAAAACAAAGATCTTTGCATGCCCTGGATGTGGTTCAGGCAATGTGAGTTTTTTTTTAGAATGACGGCTCAGATTAGAAAGGCTGATTCCTTGTTTAATTTGCCGGAAGGACTCGGGAGAGGACAGGCGGCATCCAAACTTTTTCTGAGTGGATTCGTCAGTTGTTCATTCAAGCCTATGGTTTGAAAAGCAAGGTTCCACCCTTTCGGGTGAAAGCCCACTCTACCAGGATTGTGGGGAATCTTGGGCTATCCACCACCGGGCGTCAGTTGCTCAGGTTTGCAAGGCTGCTACATGGTCTCATACATTCACAAGGTTTTACCAGGTGGATGTCAGAGCCATGGAGGATTCTGCCTTTGGTCGCCGTGTTTTGCGAACAGCTGAATAGTTCCTTTTCGGATGTTGACATTGGTTATTGTGATGTCACCCACCCCTCAAGGCTATTGTTTTGGGACGTCCCACATAGTTTTTATTATGGGCTGGTCTTTGTCCCGTAATGTATAATAAAGAAAATTAGATTTTTTTCTGTATATTTACCTGTAAAATCCATTTCTTGGAGTACATCATGGGGACACAGCGGTCCCTCCCCACTTTCTGGATTTTCATTGCTTGCTACAAAAACTGAGTACTTCCTGTGCAGGAGGGGTTATATGGGGGAGGACTTCCTGTTTGATTGGTCGGCCAGTGTCCATTCACCTATAGGTGGCATATAACCCACATAGTCATTATTATGGCCTGCTCTGTGTCCCGTGATGTACTCTAAGTGTGTAGAAAAACTCTAATTTGTTTCAGCATCCCACACAGACAGTACAGTTTCAAAATCTCTAGTATACACAGTACTGATCCATGTTTCTTCTTACTCTCACAGTACTGACTCATATGTTTTCTCACTCTCTTACACACATCTAAGAACACAGGATGAACGTTTGTGACTGAGGATATCAACAAACATTAAATCAGTGACCTACAAAAACTCTTCCCCAGAGTCTCCATTATAATTACTGAAAACTACCAAAACAATACCAAAACAATAAACCTGTATTGCAGACTACAAACACCTGCTTACACATATCATACTGTGCTAAAAATAAGGAAAAACAGTGCTGTGCCCCAAGAACATTTGTTTATTTGTACACAAATACAATGGTTGTGTAAGTTAAAACCCCAGATCCACTTTGTATGCCATATCCTAGGGTGCTTATATATACGTTTTTCTAAATGGCATCAGAACTAGTACGTCACATAATGCAAATCCACAAGAATGTATATAGAGATCTTTGTCTTATCTCCAAAAAGTTGCCATCAGAAGGGCATTGAGAATACACAGGCATTTATATGGGATATAAATGGTCTTGGTATTTTTGTGTACAAATACAGATTTATGGTTTTGGGAGTGCTCAGTGATTGAGGAAATCCCATTTGTACTAGGCTTCATCTAGTGGCGGTCAAGGGAACTGAAGCCAATGAAACTGCATGTAAAATACTTAATGATACTAAAGTCTTGTTTTTTTGTTTTGTGAATAACAAACATGTTATACTTACCTGCTCTGTGCAGTGGGTTTGCACAGAGCAGCCCGGATCCTACTGTTCTTGTGCTCCTCGCTGGCGCTCATGGGCCCTCCCTCCTGTCGGGTGCCACCACAGCAAGCAGCTTGCAATGGGGGCACAAAAACAGGCGTGCTCCTGGGCATGCGGATCTGTGTGTCCATTCACACACAGAGCCACAGCTCGACCCCGCCCTTTCTTGATTGGCTCCTGCTGCTGTCTCATCCAGTCAGGAGTGTGAGTTCCCAGAGAAGGCTCCTGTGGACATTGCTGGATCAGGATAGGGCTCAGGTAAATGTTAGGGGGGACTGAGGGACTACATACACAATGTTTTTTTTACCTTCATGCATAGAATACATGAAGGTAAGAAACCTTGAGCTTTTAGAACCACTTTAAATACTTGGTCCTTGAGAGCTTTTTTTTTTTTTTTTGTCCTAAAATCTGCAGTTTCATGCACTGAAACATTGTCTTGCAGTATCTTGCAGTGTTGTTACAGAGATGATACAGTGTGTTAAATAAGCATACTGAATTTTGTAATGCATAATATAACTATGCAATTTGGCATATAGGAGAAAATCGAGTTCTGGGCAAAGACCAGCTATAGCTATTATGGGATTGTCTTTGTCAGCAGAAGTTCAGTGTCAATGTTGATATGACAGACACATCTGAATATGATAGTGGTCATTCTGATGTCCGCTTGGGATGTCTGGCAACGTCTGTTGCTGGTGATAGAAGTGCAATTATCACTTGATATGGTCATAACTGGAGTTTATCTCCTGTTAAAGTGGTTGTAAACATCAGGCATGATATATGAACAAAGTGTATCCAGCTATAATGTGTTCTTCTTCAATTAGGATAGCACTAAGTGTCATTTCTATCTTTTGCTTCCATCCTCTGCTATCAGCATGAGTTTCTTCCGCCAGGTTTTCCTGACACAAAGAGAAAAAAGTTATGGGAGTAGAGTGACAACCTCGGTTCTCTTTCTGTGAGCTGTGTGGAGGAGGGTGTGTCTCTTTTTTCCAATCATCTCTCGGAGTTCTCCTTGCTGAGCTCTGCAGAGTGTAACCTCAGGTCTCCACCCCCCTTTTTTCTGAACTCTCAGACAAGCTGTAAACTCAGCACTTTGAACAGATATAGAGAAGAGAATCCGCAGATAAAAAGGTACAATTTATGTAGGAGGATTTGTTTAATCTCTGTGTATCACCTTAGGCCAGCCACTTCACTGGGTACAGGTAAGGGCTAACAACCACTTTAAGAATCTTTAATGCTATTGCCTGGGTTCTTGTGTACCAAAGTTCAAAACATTGACTCAGTTTTGTGTACTGTATGCACTTGTGTAAAGTTCTGGCCTATTATCGATATACAAAGTTTAAACTTTGGGATTTTGAAAATCTAATGGAGTTCTCTGCCTGCGGTAACATGTGAGCCGATACTTTGTTGATGAACGAAAAACTAATTTTAGCACCATATGGTTAAAAGAGGCAGAAAAATGCTACAATACTAGTATAAAATAAAAAAAAAATAATCATGAATGCAGAAATAAATACATTCTTTACTAACTGTTCTTTTTATGTTACCAGATTTTATATGAACTGCCAACAAATACTCAGTGGTGTTTCGATATCCAGTGGTGTCCCCGTAACCCAGCTGTGCTCTCTGCTGCTTCTTTTGATGGCCGCATTAGTGTTTATTCCATTATGGGTGGAAGCAATGACAATCTGAGCCAGAAGCAGGTAGATAAGGTAAATTGGTCATTTTCTACTTATAGTACTTTGTTACGCATATATTGTGTGTGTGCGCGTGCATATATATGTGTGTGTGTGTGTGTGTGTGTGTATATATATATATATAATATATATAATTTTTTTTTTTTACTGTATTGGTTGACCTTTTGAACATCATTGATATTTCTTGTATATCATGTAGCTTTCTTCATCATTTGGAAACTTGGATCCATTTGGCACAGGGCAGCCTCTTCCTCCTTTGCAGCTCCCTCAGCAGACCACTCAGCAAAGTACTGTGCTGCCTTTAAAGAAACCTCCTAAGTGGCTGCGCCGGCCTGTCGGAGCTTCATTTTCTGTAAGTGATTTTTTTTTTTTGTTTGTTTGTTTTTGGAACAAAGGTTGCCCAGTCATTTATAGGAGCACTTTGATTGTTGTGAAATTAGGTACATGTATACCATTTATGTTGGTTTTTCATACGTGTATGTTTTCTTTCTGGTGAAGTGTGTTGTTTGGCAGAGAGAATCTTTGGCATTGGCAGTGTAAGTGCTAAATGGAAAACTTTTCCTATTTTCTTCTGTTTGTTCCTGACATAAACCCAGCCTTTCATCTCTCAGTAAACTTTTCATAGGTAAAAAGAGTCCTTCATGTGCTGTCTGAGTGAAAATCAGTCTTGTTTCAGCAAATCATTGATGCAGGGAAGTGCCTAATTGTTAAAGTTGTAGGTTTATTGTTGTACCGTGCAGTGTGACTGTTTGCTGTGTACAAGGCTTCTTAAAAATTACAGCTGACGCCTAACTTTTTAGGGTTTATCTAGTCATCAATGAAGCTGGCTCCCAAAGCAAATCCTGATGGCTTCTAGATTGGACAGGCTGGCTCCTGAATGCCATATTAATTTTGTCCACCCCTGCCTTAGTAGTAATACTACTTGCACTTAATAGGGCTTTTGTATTGTTATTTATTTTCGCTAATTTAGGGCTCAAGTACAGGGGCGTTGTTTCCCTGCATTTAAGGTGTGTGTTCAGAGGCTGCATTTTCATTTGAACTCCGCTGCATGCATTTGAATGGAAAAATGCAGCATTTGACTAGAATGTCCATTGACATGTATCCCTGACCAGAATAATTTTAAAGTGGTAACTAAAAAGGGCTACAATTACATCTTTATGGAGCATTTGCATGTGTTGCATTGCAGCAGCCCATTTAAATAGGCCTCCTAACACACTAAAAACTAATTTTAGCAACGCAATTCTGAGTGAATTGGAAAGAAGTAAAACAGATGCCTAGTCTGTAATGTTGTAACTTTCACTGTGGAACAATAACATTAGAAGCAGATTCATATCTGGGTTAGTTGCGCTACAACAGGATTGCAGCATCCTCTTCACTCATGGTACAGTTACTTCTTCTGCAGGACACATTTTAGTTCAAACACAACAGGCCTTATTTTGCCATTTGTGCCTTGCATAACAACTGTTTTTTCCTATCATTCAGCCACTTTAGACATTTATGATTTTATTGGCTGAAACCAGGTCAGATATTGAAAGCAGTATGATCATGAAGGAGAAACTATAGGTGGGCACTTACATTCCCCACAAACACCCCGTACTCAATTGCCAAATACCATAAACCAAAATAACATAAACAACCAATGGTGCTGCATGCAGTCCAACACCAATATGGAAATACTGTTTCTGTGCCACCAAATCTTCCCAAAGTGCTTCACCTCTTGTGTCACCGCAGTGCACTCACTAAAGATCCATGAGCCTCATATTTGTAAGAATAGGTCATATGGCACTGTTAGCCCCAGATGCTCTCCAACAGATGTTCCTCACTCTTCCTCCAATCATCACTTGTCCTATGTACCCAATGTTTCTCCATCAATGTCACCCAAGGACCACAAAAGCAGAGTCTCTCATTGTGCAGTATTTAATTAAAACTTGGCAATAAAAAGTATTACATTTGACACTTACAAAACATGGTGCCCAATATCTCAGCACCAATACACTCAGCGCCTGTGCACTGCCGTTCCACTTCCTCGCCATGAGTTCCAAATACCTGGAAACCGGAAGTGATGAAGGGATATGGCCAGAAAAACCGTAAGCAGCCTCTACATGTTTCATCGTGTGTCACCACAGTGCACTCACTAAAGATCCATGAGCCTCTTATTTGTAAGAATAGGTCATAAGTCGCTGTTTGATCCAGATGCTCTCCAACTGCTGTTCCTCAGTTTTCCTCCAATCATCACTTGTCCTATGTACCCGATGTTTCTCCATCACTGTCCCAAGGACCACAAAAGCAGAGTCTCTCATTGTGCAGTATATAATTAAAACTTGGCAATAAAAAGTATTCAATTTTACACTTACAAAACGTGGTGACCAATATCTCAGCACCAATACACTCAGCGCCGTTCCACTTCCTGGATGTTTTTCATAGGGGGGGGGGTCTATGACATTTTTAGCTATAATATTCCTTATCCCTGGGGCTCTTTTATAAATTAAATTAGGGTGTTTTTGGTAGGATACTCTTCAGGGATTGGTCTGTTAGTAAAATCAGTCAATATTTCTTAATACTTTTTTCAAGATCTATACATTGAGTGTTATATCCAGTTATGAAGGCCATATCACATTTTACTTTGCTTTTTTTTTTTTTGTTTAGTTAATTTCTTCCTAGTAGTTTTTTCCAACACCTTTTGTTTATATTCTTTTCCCCTAAACCAGGGGTAGGCAACCTGTGGCGTCTCTCCAGCTGTTGCACGACTACAAGTTCCATCATGCCTCTGCAAGTCATAGCTGTAACTGTCAGTTTTGTAATGTTGCAATGCCTCATGGGAAATGTAGTTCCACAACAGCTAGAGAGCCACAGGTTGGCTACCCCTGCCCTAAATCTTTGTATTAATATATTTGATTGAACCATGAAATCTTTATCTTGTAAACAATTTCTTTTAATTCTCATAAACTGTCCTTTCGGGATGGCTGTCTCCCATCCCGGATGTTGACAGCTCCTAATAGAGATATACCCGTTCCTGTCTGTTTCTTTCAAATAGGTGTGGGTTTGAAATGATGGTACTCCCAGAATTCAAGATGTAGAAAGTGTACCATCTCATTAGTCACGGTGTTAGTAAATTTATTATCATACTGGTTACTGTTTAACCCACTTGTAAAAATCATGTTAATTCCACCCGGTCTCCCTCCCAAATAATAAAGATATCATCAATATATCTTTTATATAGTCTAAGCTGGGGCCATACTTTGGAAAAGACTTCCTCCTCTTCCCATTTGTTCAGGAAAATGTTGGCTACACTTGGTGCATATCGGGCTCCCATAGCCACCCCTTTCACTTGATTGTAGAAATCACCCCAAACCAAAAATAAATAATTATTTGGACCCTCAAGGATAAATTCCTAGATTTTTCGAAAGAGCACCCTCGAAAGTATCACATTGTATTGTTAAATTGTACTTCCCCCTTTGTAATGTACAGCGCTGAGCGGTTGCGCTTTATAAATACTGTATAATAATAATAATAAAAAATTACCTCTGGGTGATGTTAATATAGATAACGTTCTTATGTCCCAATCTACTGCCTTCAGCCTTCTTTCTGCTTAATGTTTGTATATAGGGACTCTATGTCCGACTAGTATGGTATTGTTCTGTACTGGAATATTTTTAAGCTTATTAATAAATTCTCTACTGTCTTTAAGGGAAGCCGTACTTTACTAGCTAGTTTCTGTAAATAAATGTCTATATATTCCCCAAGTCTGGAATAAAGAGACCCTATTCCACTAATATTGGGTCAGCCATGAGGTTTAGTTTTAGTTTTATTTTTATGAATTTTTGGGACCTGGTATATAACTGGGATCCTTGGGCTTTAAGTGTTAGATATTTGACCTCTTTCTTATCCAATATTTTTTCTTCTTAAATTCTTTTTAACCCAACCATCTCATTTTTTTTTAAGTTGTTTCATTGGGTCTCCTAATAATTATTATAGGTTTCCCTATCACTTAGTATCCACTTCATTTCTCCTTCATAGTCCTCTTTCTTCAGAGTAACAACCACCCCCTTGTCCGCTGGCCGTATTAGCACTCCATTCCTATGTTCAAGGGCTTTTATCCCTTCTCAAATGTTTTATTCCCTTCTTTTTGAAAATGACAAAACTTCTTGAACCTGAATTTTTAAACACTTCAATATATTGATGGGATAATGTTCTGGGATTACATGTGGATTTATTTTTGAGTCCACTATGGGTATAGGTTTTTTTTTTTTTTTTACTCATGTTCCTCATGATTCCTCTCTATAGTTATCTTGTGGGATGGCATCTCTATCTACTGGAGTGTAATTCCTGATCATCCTCTTGCCAATTATAATCCTTCTGTTTTTTGTAGTGCCTGAAATCCCTTTGATATTTTTTTATTTTTTTCATTTTAGTCTCATTATCAAATTTCTGTAGATGTTCCTGTAATTTTTGAGCCTGGGTTTTATATTCTTGTGTGTCCTCAAATGGTATATTTTTTTTTTTCTTTCAAGGTTTTAACTTTATCTTCAATAAGTATAAACTTAGTTTTTCTCCTCTGCAAGATCATACTGAGTAATTTTTGTTCACAGGTATTGAAAAATTGATACCATTCTTTCAGCAGTTCTGGGTCCTCTATTCCATCATTAGGGGCTAATGTCCCACCCGAGCCTTCTAGGTATCATGTTTTCTTTTATGTATTTTTCTAGAGAAGTTATATAAACAAAAGGAGTTGGAAAAAAACTAGGGACCTGGAAAGGAAAATGGATTGGGAGAGATTAACTAAACAAAAAAAGAAAAGCAAATTAAAATTTGATATGGCTTTCACAACTGGATATAACCCTCACTATAGAGAGGTGGAAAAAAGTATTAGGGAATATTGGCCAATTTTACTAAGAGACCATTCCCTGAAGAGTATTCTACCAAAAACACCTAATTTCACTTATGAAAGATCCCCAGGGTTAAGGAATAGTATAGCTAAAAATGTCATAGACCCCCCCTAAGAAAAATGTAACATTTTTAGAAAAGAAAGGGATTTTTAGGTGTAGAAAGTGTAAGGCCTATAAAAGAACTAAAATTAAAAAACAGGCACATACCTTAGTTTTACTCCACCACAGGTAAAAGATATGATATAAAGAAATTCATCACGTGTGATAGTAAGAATGTTGCATACCTAATTATTGTCTGTATGGATTATATTACATTGGACGCACAACCATAAAAATATCCAAACGTATTGGAGAACACATTACTAACATTAAAAATGGGTATGGAAAACATAGTCTGTCCAACCACATTAGGGTAGCACATAATCAGGATCCTTTTCATCTTTCCTTTACAGCAGCGGTTCTCAAC